CGATGCACCCTCTTGTGGCCTCAGGAGAGAAGCCAAAAGCTTTTCTTCACCCTAACTGAAATGATGCATTTTAAATTCAAATATAATTCGAATTTTGATAATATTTTAGTACAAAATTCTAATTTAGTTTTTTAGCCATTTTGACAGCCCTAGTGTGTGTGTGTGTGTGTACTGTCTATATTTATTATGTATATATAAATACACATACATACAGTATATATTTGTGCTGCAGGGACACATATAAGGTCTTCAAACTGAAAACCCGCTAGAAGCTCAAGACTTTATTCAGGCAGAAAGACTGTAGCTGGCAGTAATAGATGATCGCTGACGTCTCATCTCTGTGTTTGTCTCCTCAGATGATCTACCAGCAGCCCAATCCAGGCGTTCATTATGAGTTCCTCATGCCGTCAGAGAACGCTGTAGATGCTCCGCGTCCTAAACAGAACCAGCTGGACCGTGAGTCAATACGTGTTATGCTCATTTTTCCATAGGTCATTTTTTGGGATGTGATTTATGTTATTTACTTGTAAAATGTTTTATTAGAGCTCTGCATTGTCCTGCGCTCTGTTTACTGGATGTTGTGTTGTGAATGCAGTGAATGCTGTGAACGGTCCGGCTGGTTCTGATGCGAACGGCCCGTTGACCCCGGAGGATCACGAGAGGTCAGGGGTCAGCTATCCTCCTCCCGTCCCGGATAATCAGCTTCCCGCAGCTCCGCCTTCAACCAGAGCCAGAGAATACAACTGGAAACTCAGCGGCACCACAGACTGCAGCGCCTCCTGTGGACGAGGTGTGCATTTACACAAACACTGTGCAGTGTCTAATACAGTGAAACTTAAAAAATTAAAATGTGTTCACCCTCAGGTCATCCGAGATCAGGATGAGTTTGTTTCTTCATCAGATTTGGAGAAATGTAGCATTGCATCACTTGCTCAGCAATGGCTCCTCTGCAGTGAATGGGTGCCGTCAGAATGAGAGGCCAAACAGCTGATAAAAACATCACAATAATCCACAAGTAATCCACAGCACTCCAGTCCATCAGTTAACATCTGGAGAAGACAAAAACTGAGACAAATCCAGCATTAAGACGTTTTTAACTCAAATACCATAGAGTCTATAATCCATAATAACGCTTCCTCCAGTGAAAAAGTGCATCTGCTGTTGTCTCTCACATCAAAATCCAGCCACATATTAGTTTAGAGCTGTTTAAACGCTGCTTGATCTGTGCAGATTTCTCTCCTGATTCACACCAGAACACTTTTTCACTGGAGGAAGAGTTATTATGGATTATGGACTCAATGTATTTGAGTTAAAAGCATCTTAATGCTGGATTTGTTTCAGCTTTTGTCTTCTCCAGATGTTAACTGATGGACTGGAGTGCTGTGGATTATTGTGATGTTTTTATCAGCTGTTTGGACTCTCATTCTGACGGCACCCATTCACTGCAGAGCATCCATTGCTGAGACACTGATGCAGTGCTGTAATGATGTAAAGATAAGCTGCGGTGTTCTGTAAGACGTTAGCTGGTTGTATCTGATGTTCAGGAAGCAGGTTCTCTGTGTTCGTCTGTGTTCACCGAGGATCTCACGCTCTCGTGCCGATCGATCTGTGCGACAGCAGAACCAAACCCAGCCCTCAGGAGGAGCCGTGTAACGTCCAGCCCTGCCCTGCCTTGTGAGTCTCCTCTTCTTCATGTGTGTGTTGATGAAATGTGTTCTCTGTAAATCAGGGTTCCCTGATCAGACTGTCTGTGATGTTCTGATGGTCCTTGATGATCTGGTTCAGGTGAGTTTGATCAGGTTTGGAGTTAAACTCAGCAGGACCAGATTTGAAGAACACTGCAGTGCATGATGCATGTCAGTCATCTTGAGATTATACTGACATCTAGTGGTGATAATGTAGCAAAGACAGAGGTATTTTTGCGGCGCTTTTTACAATACACATGCTTTCAAAGCAGGTTTTAGGGCTGGAAGATGTGATTATATACAATGATGTTTTTGCTTTTGTAGGTTTTGTTGTATTAAGATATTTGAATATTGATCAGCTTTGTTCATTTAGGAGATGAACCTAAGTAAGTAAGTGATTAAGTAAGTGATTCTCAAAACTTTTGATGATAGTATTACTTGTCACAGGTACAAATTCTGAAAAAGTCTGATGTTTGGGCAATTAATATCATAATATAATAAATGCATAATGTGATGATGCATACTATCAATCTATCTATCTATCTATCTAGTATATAGTATGCATTATCAGTTAAGTGTATGCGGAATTTGTGTTAATGTCTTAATACATTAAAGTCACCATAAAATCAAAGCTGACTGTTCATTGTCGGAATATTGTAGGGTTTATTATCAATGATTTATCCGTGCAAATTGAATTTGAATGTGCGAAAAACGATTGCAACTTCTGTTTCATGAAGACTTAATGTCCTAAATCGAACAAACACCCTTCAGTGCATCCACATTATGTCTGGAGCTCTGATGTCTCGTTGCTGATGTCTCTGTGTCTCTCTCTCTCTCTGTGTGTGTGTGTGTGTGTGTGTGTCTCTCTCTCTCTCTGGGTGT